ATATTAGGGACTTTAAGCAAACCACGACGGCTACGGCAACGAGAACGTGGAAAAACAATAGATCTAATTGGCAGAACAATAGCCCAGCACGTGCGTTTTCAAACTTTGTACATTTCTTAGCCGTCCTTTGCAAAACAACAACGTGAAATCACCAAAATTTGCGTCGTCTGTGAAGCTAAACCGCGGCGGCAAGTTATTTTAATTTACATTTGGAACTCAACGCTACTTTTATGCGTTATGTTGAGTTTGAGGGTCTGGGGCCCTATGAGACGGTAAACACATGCAGCCATTTTGGAAATTCTAACTAAATGTAGAAACTCATTTTTTAATCAACGTCTTCCGTGGCGTTGCCGTCCTGACTGCTTAAAGTCCCTATTAGATAGTTGTGTTGCCCTCTTACACGAACTAAACGCTTAATTTCAAGTTTAAACCTTCAAAATCCAGAATCTTAATCCTTACCGGCTCAAAATCTATCGTTCCTCTGTGTGTTGTACACTGGCCGACTGTATGTTTTATATTCAGACTATGCAGCACAGATAGCCGTTACAAAATCTTTTTAATAAAGTAATTTACATGACTCAAAGCGTATATTCGTCTTTAAACGACGTACAGTTGGCGTTCATAAATGAACACATCCTTAACACCTATTCGGTACAATTTTCAATTGAGCATCGAAAGTAGTCATGGGATTGCAATAGTTTCTTCGCCCTATGATTGATCCAGAAAACTCGCGCCACTCTCTTAACCCATCCGTACTACGCATGCGTTTTCCTGTGATTTCTCGTTGGCTCTTTGTAACTGTTTCCTTTCTCCTGATTGGTCACTGTGGCTTGTTTGGTTTTTTTATGCTTCTTTGTTTTTGTTTTTTTACGACAGTTAATCGAAATACACAATTTGCTTAACACAAGCCTTAAGTTGTGCTTTTCTGCGTTAGACCCAATTTTCATGGATCGCGTGGGTTATGTGATTGCGATAAAGATGGTGCATAAAAAACATCAATTTTTTTTTTCGGTACAGAACGAGTAGTCTGTACAACCAATCAAATTTTTAGACAACAGTGATCATCTGGAAGTAAAGTACCATTTCAGAGCAGTTTTTCCACTTGTCTTTGGGCTGAAGAAATACACGTCAACAACAAAACATTTTCTTAATTCGCCCCCAGACTTAGATAAAGGTATTGAGCTTTAGCTTATCATTTGCAAATACAAAGTGTAAGTGAACTATTTAAAAATACACAATATTATGTGAAGACTAAGCGCTACTTGCAATGCTCGACTGCAGTTCTTTCGCGTCACATGGAAGTGATGTGGAAGTCAGATGAACACTCAACAGTAAACAATGTTAACTTAAACCATTGCTCTTATTGAAGACTTCACACTGAAGCAGTTTTACTAGTTTCAAGTTTCCTGTTCCAATCGATGGAACATTTGTCTTACGGTTGCAATGCATCATGGTATTTTCTTCAGGCATCTTTTATACTCATTCGACACCCGCCAGGCGCATGCGTCACCGCTCCAGTCCCTCATGCAATAGGAGTGTTTACTTTTACAGTGTTCTTTCATAGGTGCCTTCCATTCCACTTTGTCACATCCACTGAGCATTTTATTGCAGTTGCTACCGAAACACATCCCCACTTGACACATGCAGTTCTCTCCATAAAAACGTCTGATTCCAGCCCTTTGTTTCCGCGTTATCAGCGACCACTCCGTCCTCCATTTGCAGCCACCAGTCCTCAGCTTACCGTGGAGTATCTGCCCCGTCAAAAGGTACACGGTGCGGTTACGCAATGGCACGTGGCACGAGGACGCGCGTGCCGGCGTGTACAGCTTTGCACGCAGAGTTCGACGCCGTGAGCCGTACACTTCCACGCCCTCTGTTTTGTTGATTTCTCGAGCTCCTTTATATATCTTAAGTATTCTCAAAGTGTACACTTGTTCTTGGATGAATTCCGCTGGGATGTCCTCCTCAATGGCTGTCTCTGGTGGTTCTGTCTGGAGGGGTTTTTCTGTGGACTCGGAAAGGACTTTGGCTCGAATGACTATCGGAAAAAAAAAACAACAACAACTTAGTGTATTTCAGCCGTGGCACAGCCACAAAATGGTTTCTTGTCACCTGCCTCTGGGCCTGTTAACTTTATTTTTGAAGGATATGGAAAAGCGGAAAACCTGGAGGAAAACCCTCGGGGCAAGGTCGAGAACCCATCACCGTCACCTGCAAGTGACTGCAAGGGCCGTGTTCTTGAAAGTATCGATTTTCTGTTCCGAAAAGGCTTAACGATGAAGATTGAGTAACTAATAGTTTTGAAAGTTAAGATTAAATATGTACGGTAACGGAAGAAAATGAAATGTTTTTCTTTTTTAAGTTGACATCAACGTTACTCTTCCTTAAAAAAAAAAGTCGCAGGTCACATAAAAAAAAAAAGTGCTCAGTAGCTTTCCTTTAATAGCGGTGACACACTAGGGTTAGGTGCACCAACTCAAAAGTTAGAACCTCATTTATGAAATCCTCAGACACATTAAGCTAGCACTGCCTCAGTTTAGGCAATAACCATTCACATGAGATCACCCTTAGAAGCTTTCAAGTGAATGGTCATACATTAATACGCACTGTTAGAACTACGTCTTGCAGCGCATAATTAACGGTACCACATGGAAGAGTAGCTCAGTAGCTTTTAAGACCACACAGCACCCTGTTTACTAAGAGTATTAGACCATTTTTTGCATTCTAACAGCCTCGAATGCCGAACAATGTTCAGATGGTCAAGTACTATAGTTATAAATCCCAGACTTGACTCTTTTCGAGGACAACGCACATCTCTTAGCACATCATCGTCACATTCGCATAATCCTTTCTGCTTTAAAGGTTAACCGAGACAAACTAAAATGAACCTTCGATAAAAAGTCTGAGAATCTGCCTATTTGGTACATTTCGTCAGCTATTGGTAGACAGTACACTCAAGCCAGGCTTTCAGCCTTAGGATTTCTCAAGTTGATATTTGAAAAAACTTCATTGATGTAAATTTTGACATTGTGTTGAAAATAGAACAGAAATTTCACTGAGCAGCCCGTGACACAACTCAACGTGAACCACAATTCCTCATAACCAAACTGCTCAACTGACAAAATGTTTGGTTTCCTCGAGGTGGTTCAGGTCGCCTTGAAGTATATACAACCAGATATAATGTTTAATCTTATGTTGCGGAATAAGTCTTAAAAACAGTATCAAGTTCTACTCTTTCGCAACTAGTGCATTGCCAGCTCATAAGCAAGAGATTATTATTAACAGACAGAATTGTTAATAACCTGTAGCTTGAAAATTGAGCCCTCTTGTCTTCCAAGTGGTATGAATATTTTATGAGAAGTAATTATAAATTCTTGTTTTGCTTAATGCCTTCAGCAAGGTTAGTGCTTAATGTAACTGTGATCAAAGTCGAAGGTGTATGACAAAAGTCGAACAAAGGTGAACTGTCTTGAAACATGGAAAGTTTACAGCCATTATGTAATGTTCAACACACCTCACAGCTGCCTTGAGTTCATGTCAGTTTGTAATTCGCATCAGGGTGTTTAGTAGTTTAGTAGCCATGCATTACATGTAAATCCAATTGATTTTAAGATTGCTCGATCCGATCTTGGATGAAGATTACAGGATTTGAAAACACACGAAACACGAACGGGCCAAGGTGAAATATTTTTTCAATTGAATTTAATCGGCTACTTCTGACATACTGTACAGAAAAGTACATTGCATGTTCATGACCAGCGAAAACGCGCTGATTTCAGTTCAAAACTGACTAGGAGAGCGATTTAAAAAAAACGGCTTTTTAGTATTTATTAACCATTTCCTTCCATGTGTCAATGTGTGAGAGCTTTTTCTTTTTCACGTTACCTATCATCGATGACGCGACAACTGATTTGATAAAAAATCCAAAATTAGATTACATAATACCCAGAGGGAATAGTAAGATTCGGCGCGTAATCCCACTCTCGCAGCACGGCTTTTTTACCTTTTCTTTTATAAGCGCATTTTTTTTTTTTTTTTTTCATTTGGCTCGCCTATTTCAAAATGAAACTCACTACCCATGGGTCTTAGTGGCTATCGTGACATCCGAGTGTTCGCTTGACGAACGAAAAAACTTGATGAGTAAGTGGAAATAGTAAGTGGAAATATTTTTCCACTTACTAAGTTCCAGTAAGTGGAAATATTTTTCGTAAGTCCCCTCTGCTTCACAACCGTCAGTCGTTGAGAGCCATCCTGAAGAACATTTTCTCTGTTCTCTATAAACATTTCAAAGAATCATGATTTGTTTTTTTTTTTTTTTTCAACAACCCAAAACCTGCGTGAGTTTCCTGTGTTGCTTTAAGAGGTTCTTATTCAGTGAATCAGGGCAAAAGGTCTTTTTTCAAGATATATTTATCTTGGGAAAAAAAAACGTTGGCTGTAGATATTTCTGTTTGCTTTGTCTTCAGTCTGGGATTGTCTTCCGAAGAAACTTTATAGTTGCCCTCTGTGTGCAGCTTTGTGTCGTTGATAACGTTGCGGTTTCGTCGCGAAAACAAAAACGTTCAGATTAATGATTTAACCGTCGCCGCTTGTGTATCCATGACAAATATTTTAGGGATTTGCCGCAACTTATCAGTGGATTTATCTCTATGTCATGCCCTGGACGAATTTTTTTTCAGAGATATCTCAGTAGTGACAGTTTTTTCTGTTCGTAAAACTCTTGTTTGTCATTGTCTGAGAAAGAGAGAAAAGGAATCGAACCGAGATTCAATACCACATATGATATAGTATCGACGAGACCGACCGAATCAACACCGGAAGAAAACGAAATAGACCACCTGAATTCTTTAATTTCCTCGTCAAATGGTATTAACAACAATCGAGGTATTAAAATCTCTAGTAAGAAGGTCCACTCTTGTTTTTTAACCTGATTACTACCTCACAGCTAACACCCTTAAAACCGCTCTGCTATGTTATGCACAGCAAAAGAAATGACAAACGCGTTATGTTATTTTGCACGCAATCAAGTGTATTGTGAATCTTGAAAGTAATAAACACCCGTAAGTGACTTCATTGACATCTTTCCCTTTCAGTTCATCAAAACTGTCCTTTCACCTTTTCTTTCATCTCGGATTTCGTCTTAATAAGTAGCCGACCGCGGAGGAGCGATGTGTTTTTTTTCCAATAAAATCACGACGCATGAATACGTAGTTTGAAACAAGTAGAGAGGTCAAACGTTGAATTATATCAGGCTGCTTCTGCAATAATTTGCTGACGTTTTCAAAAGGTTTTTCATGCAGGCTTTTGTACACGAAATGTATCCCTCGTAATGGCACAAAATATTCATTACTCACCGAATGCAGAGTTGCAATATTCATTTTGAGGATGACTCGGCAAACACGAGCAAGCACAACACACAGAAATCAACGCATTGCTGAGGAAAAATACCACAAGAAGGTACCCCATGGTTAAATTCTCAAGTGCGTGCTTCCAAACCCTGGCCGGTGCTTGTAAATAAGTTGTTTGTCCGCTAAAAGCTGGATATCCTCAGCTGATAACGACTTATTTGAGCTGTTTCCTTTACAAGCGGCAAACTTCGCTTTGAGTCGTACGGTAACCGGATACAGGGCGTCTACAAAGACAAAAAATTCAGCCCTTTTCGAGAACTCATGATGTCACTAGGCATTAAGAATACATTTAAGCGAGCAGGACAAAGTCACGCCTCATGACCGCACGGGGTTGTCTCGCACTGAGATGGCTTTTTTCGCATTTGCTTTTTCCGGACAAAATTTCTAGCCAAACTTTATGAGAAAAAAAAAAAAGGCAAAAAGTGATCAATATCATGTGATTTCTCATCAGCGATCTACAATATCACATGATTTGTTATTTTCGTTTAATCGTAACAGTTCTGTTTTCTTTACCTGAATATGTTATATTCTTCTACGATTACTATTGTAGCATTTGATGGCATATGTAGTTATTTACTTATAGCTGTGGAATTTAAAAGACGGATTCTCGTGACCCCTTGCGAAGACTTGTTTAGATTAATTTTTCCTTAAGAATTGAAAATATTTATACTCAGTCAGCTGATGGCATTTTTTGCATTTTCCAAGGAAGCTTCCAAGTGGTTTTTCGGTAGCCAGCACGTTTTTGTGGCTGATTATGTACTGATGCCATGGTTGCTAATACGCAAATTTATCACGTTTTCACAAATTTTCACTTTTATGTGATGTCAGAAAATTTTAAATGGGAATTTATCACTTGCTCACTGCGGGCTTTGTGACATTGATCATCTTCTAACCTGGAAAACACGTGTTATTCGCTTACGGCCGCATTTCGATTCGTTTGGATCGGAATATGATTTTTTTGCTTGATATTTCCCTTCAAACAACAGACGAAAAACGAGAAATGTGTATAAAAACCTGGAAGTTTTCAAACTGATTTGTACATCAACACATTATCGAGACCATTAGTTGCATAGTGATAGGGTGAGTAATTGGAGGATGGCGAAAAAAAATTAAATCTTTGCGTGTGGTGTTCGGCTTTATTTTTTTGGAGTAATCTGGGCGGTCGAACCATGCACTTTTCTAGCGGTATTTTCCGAGAGGGATTCCACGGAATGTTTTCATTTGAACTTTGTAATCAGTTTACTATAGTGATAACGCTACTGAAAGGAACTAGTTAAGAGTCTTTGGTGCCGCAAAAACGGAAAAAGGTCATTTAAATTTGAGTTAGTCACTGCGCCGAGCAATATTATTTTGTGCTCAGAGGAGACAACTAAATATCAGTTCCATAGGATGGAAATTTTTGAAGAGACCATATTGAAAGAAGAGCAAATTCAAAAATTGCTTAGGACGAAGAACGGTTGAAACATTATAAATAAGGAAATGGGAAAATTTAGCAGCCTTACAAACCGATAATTAATCCTTTGGCGTCAATGATTTCATTTCAGTGCAACTTACATTTTGTATTATGTTATTAAATCACTTTGAAATATTGACTATATATTTTTCCCAGATCGAGACGATGCTATTTCATCACAGACAAGTCATGTATTTGTAGACCTCAAGCCACTCTTGATAAGTTTTCCCCTTCGACATTACTGCTTTCACATCGTCTCCAAATAGATTTGTAAAGGTTAATTCGCTTTGTTTCATTCTGAATGTATCACTGGTAATGCTTTCGTTTTTTTACAGCCAAAAGATAGCTTCTTAAGAACTCAAAACAATTGCAATTTTTAGCTCCAGGGTTAAGGAGTATCAAAACGCCACGCCATATAACTGATTTCTTTATAATACTAATAAGTCATTTTAAGACTGACCAGGTGATAAGATGAAATAATATGTTTGAAAGAAAGGTGTATCCGCTGTTTACAACGGCTTCTAACAAAGATAAAATTTATATTACTCGCTCTTTGATAAAGCACGTCTTTCGCTCTGAACCCTGAATTTTTTGGTACTTTTATCCTATACCACCTTTAATTAGTTTTGTTATCTTATCTAAAGTAATCTCTATTGAAACTTGTTTGCGGTAAACCATTGGCCCCTATGACACTCTTACATTCTTACTTCAAGTCTTAATGCTTCAGTTTCAAATTAAATAAAACAATCTCGAGTGTAGATGAGCCAATTACCTATATCCGTATTTCCTTTAATATGATATCCATTCTTTCAGAAACGTGCAATGCATGAGTGAAAGGTATCATGTCAAAATCGTGCCCATTATCTAAAAGCAAACCTCTAAAGGAAAATTAATAACTTACGAAAATTGCTGCTTCATTGCTGATGTGAGTCCAATTGCGCTCCAGCAAATACACGCTAGAATAAAGTCACTAGAATTGTTCTAGAAGTTTAAAGCTTATTTTTTTCGAGAAGCTTAAGGGTTAGAGATAAGTAAATTACCTCTCTTTATCGTTTCAAAATCATGCCAAGTCGTTGTTATAATGTGGTATGTCATTGTGTGCTCGCATGAAGACATTAAAATTGTTCTAGAAGCGTAGAGCTTATTTTTTCAAGAAGCTTAAGGTTTAGAGATAAGTAAAATTCTTCTCTTTATCAACTGAAATTCATGCCCAGCCGGGTTAGTGTTGTGTTGTTTCATAATATGAAGAAAACAGTCTGCGTTTTCCGGTTGGCAAAGATCGTTGTCGTTGAATACTTCTGGCAAACCATGCATATAGTCATGTTTTTTTTGGAATGTTTTGTCCGCCATTTTGAAACTGAAAAGCTTCATGCGCTGTATCTTCCAGAAGGTTCTATACAGAATTATGAGAGAGTTGAGGTCGTAATTTCTGGGGGTCTAGGTTACCAAACGTGGTCGTTTTTACAAATCAAGAAACTTACATCATTTCATTAACTTATGATGACACCTTTTAAAACCCCAGAAAGGTTTGTTATCTAAAACTTCCTGCTTTTAAATACCTATAAATGTGATTTCTTAATCGTATAGTATTGGGCCAGATAAGCCAAATCTAAACTTAAGTCTTACCAAACAATTCAAGGTCAGGTACACAGCTAAGAATTCTATTGTCTGGTTAGCCCAACTTGCCAGCAATCGCACCTATTTTTAACCACCTCCACTGTGCGACACATTTGAAAACAAACAGTTGAACTCCAACAAGACAACTTTGACGTTCCTCAAAATGACAAGAATTCATCGGGATTATCTGCGTTGGTGATTTACTGGTTTGTTTTAGACCTGCTATGTGTTCATGATAACATTTCTGTTGAAACAAAGTTCTCTCTGTTTCTTTTTTAATTGACACTATGAATTAAATAAAACTTCCTGTATCTTTTGTGAAATTGACGCCACGAGAAACCAATCTTTTAGGTTTCACTTTAAAGGTTTCCATCGGTAAAATTTGGGCAGATATGATACTCAGACCTGAGTAGAAGACGCCCTCTTGCGTAAACCTCGACCAAACCGCGTTCAAACCGCATTTAAACCACATTCAGGACTAAATCACGGTAAGCAACGATACAACGGAATGTTCATCCCACTGAAAATCCCTACCGACAGTGATATTTGTGTGCAGTCTGGCAATTCAAACATTGTAGTCATCTTTTATTTATATCAGAATATTAGAGAAATCTATTTATTTGTCACGTGCGCAAACATAGAAAATCTTGAGTTCGCCAATAGCATGAGTTAAACCTGGGCGTTTCCTGCGGAACGCGTCTTTTCTTTAAATTTACAATTAAACACATTTTAATTCGATTAAAACAAATTTAATTACTATTTTCAATGAACTTGTCTCTTAAAGATTACTTTTACGGTAACAGAATGATTTTCCATAAAAAACATCCGCACAATATATCCGTGGAGACATGTAGTTAACTCTCTTGATCGGTCACAATCCCTCTTAATTTTACAGCATTTCCAACAAGCTTCTGGCACTGTTTTTGGTTACAGGCACAAGTTCGCTAATGGCAGCGTCCTACAGAATTTAAAACTAGCTCTAGCGACTCTCAGCGTGATTGCGAACTGATCACGAAGTAGGGGTTTGTGTATTGATGAAAATATTTGAAACTTGACAAACACGGTAACATTTGGTTTCTAAATAGCACATTTGGTTTCTAAATAGTTTCTAATTAACCAGTCCCGGCCAGCTGTTTCCAGGCGACTATGATTTCCGTATTCAACTTTTTTCACACCCTTTCGTCGGCATGTTTTTATGTTATAATTTACTAACTCGAGAGAGAAATAATGATCAGATGCTGAATTCCTCGATCTGCTTACTTTAAACTGACTCGTGCGATCACAGGTCACTTAAATCGTCGTGTTGGCCTCGAACATAAGATTTAAAAAAGTGCTTTGAGTTCAGCTTGTTTGTTTAAATTGTGTTCCTTATGACTACCTTTGTTGAATTTGGAAAGTTTATCACGTTACCGCGGCTAGGATTTTAAAACACGATTAAGTGCAAATCAATTTTAGCTCCGTACTCTGTACTTTTGAATTTTGTAAAGTCAAACCGAATGATCCTTGATATTGGCATCTTACGATTGCTTAAACCAACACCCACTCCCCACTCCCCTCCCTGTTCCTAAATGGAGGAGCTTGGGAGAGGGGGGTAGGGGGAAACATTTGCTCGTTATGTTCGATAATTGTAGGTTGAACCACACGTGTCCCAACCTCACGTCTCGAGGAAAAGCGAAGGATTATTTCATTCTGAAAAGCGTCAAGCGTTGTCCGCCGCGGTGTTAAGTTACGCGAGTAACCGTTGAGAATTTGAATGCGTTCTAAGGAATAGTATGGGCAACAAAGTATGGTCCATTTAAAACACTAAATATTCCGAAATATGAACATTTTACACGTTAGATTAATAAAACTTACTCATTCCTTGTGTGTCTGTTGTGTTTTTTGGTGTTTTCTGCTGTTTGGGGCTTGTTTTTTCTGTTATCAAACGAAGTCAGTGATGGTAAACCAAGCCCAAAACGACGGAAATCGCTAAAAAACCCAACAGACACATAAGGAATGAGTACGTTTTATTAATCTAACGTGTAAAATGTTCGTATTTCGAAAAATTTAGTGTATTAAATGGACCATATTTTGTTGCCCATACTATTCCTTAGAACGCATTCAAATTCTCAACGGTTACCATAGGGGTCCCAGACGAGCGACGAGTCTGGTTGTTTGTTCGAAATATAAAGGAATGTATGGAAGAATATTGAAGAGTCTTATTATCGTAAACTGATATCATGAAATGTCTGAGTTAAAGCTCAAAATAAATGTAAACCTACCTCACTTGCTGTGTATTGTCGTTTCCGTGGCTCTAAATGGCGAATTTGAGCGATTTGGTGGGTTTTGCGTCGACTGTTACTATACGTTAGAACGTATAGTAACGTGTAGTAGAACGTATAAGTTTACGATAATAAGACTCTTCAATATTCTCCCATGCATTACTTTATATTTCGAATAAACAACCCGACTCGTCGCTTGTCTGGGCCCCCTATGCGATTTCTCGCGTAACTTACCACCGCGTCACATATCGCGTGACGCTTTCATGAAATAATCCTTCGCTTTTCCTCGAGACGTGAGCTTGGGAGACCTGTGGTTGAACTCAACGCGTGCACGATGCTTGGTTTAATCAAATTCAAAATGGCCTCTACATACGTCGCAAGTAGAAAAATAATATTCAAAAACCAAGACAAAATCTTTCAAACGCATCAACGGAATTTTACTAATATGAATGCTTCAAAACTCCTCGTGAACCTGATGTATAAACTTAGACGTTAAAACACATTTTGTTTTTCTTCATTTTTTTCAGCATGCATTTTATAGGCAAACGATTAAAGACATTAAATATTCAAATAGGAAACACCGATATAGAGTAACGATCGTTTCAGTGCTAAACACAGAATAAAAATATAAGTTATTTTCAATGTTATCAGACAAAAGAAAGCCTTCCCAGAGGAAGAAAACTCTGCAAGTTTCTAAACGTGTTTCCTGACGGAACATCAGGACACACGTTTAGAAACTGGCAGAGTTTCACCAAATTTTTAAGGTTACCCCGGTTTAATCCGAAATTTGCTTTTCAGTGTTCAGCACAGCACGGAATTTCAGTGTTAGAAGCGTTATTGTCGAACCTTCCCTGTCCTACCACCCATTTCGAGCCATTAAGCTGTTTAAGTTGTTTGCAATGAAAGAGGCTTACATTGTTGACAGGCTTGTAAAAACGTGCGGTACAAGCACGTTTCCGTTAACGCTTAGAAGCGACAATGTTCTCAGCAGTTAGAGTGCAATTTATTCATATCTTTTTTTTTCTGCCATTGTGAATTCGAGTTAGCTTTCAATTCATAGAGTCTTGAAGAACAGTTGAATCTTCAACTACCCAGATCATATTAACAGCTCTTAGCGGAAAGTCAAAGGTGCACTGTTTCAGAATACTCTCGTGCGTCCAAAGCAGTGAAAGCGATGAGAGCCGATGTAGAGCTTTTCGAAGTCTAGTGAGCGGTTGACGCTTGTGAAAACAAATATCTGAAGTGAGCTTAATACATTAAAAAAAAATCACACGGGAAAAACGCAGATCGATAAATATTTAAAGAGAAGACAAGCCAAAGAGATGAGCTCAGGATAATATGACCATTAGCATAGCGACTGCAGCCTTTGGCAGACAGAAAGGCTGGCGCTAGCGTGCTTAAATTAGCACCGCCGTATCAGTGGCGGGTTACTCAGCGTCCAAGTAGGGGTAGGGGGTAGGGGGGGGAGGGAAACTGGGTGTTAACCGCTCTATCCCATAAAAGCCAATTCACAAAGTGGTGAGCCTCCACATGTACTTCGATTTCACATTTCACCAGCGTTTCAATTCTTCACTGATTTTATCTTCTCGTTTGATGTGTTGATAGTTTAGTTGTGAGATTTTGATTAGTAATGAAAGAAGGGTATGTAACGGATTGATATAGCATGTTTTTTACGTTTTGTTTTCTGCTTGCAGTTAATAACTCCAAAATTTCCTGTTGTGGTAAAGGTTGGGCATGCGAACGGCGGTTATGGCAAGGTAAGAAGAGTTTTTTTTTCAAAAGCGTAATCATAATTCATCCAAAGTAGACAAACTAGACATCACGTATTTCGCAATCAGAACTCATTTAACCATGTACTGACAGTCTGTGCGACTGTCTGTCTGCCAGACAAATCCTTAAAGCTGTGGACGCAGTTCCTACGAGTGACAGATCCTTTGCAGATTATGACACCTCCAAAAATATCTCGATGTATTTTTGTTCTCTTGTTTGATTTTTTTTTTTTTTTTTGTAATTTTTTAATATTTGGAATTTATGGAATGGTCACTGGCGAAATAAAAGATGGGGTTGAGATGAGAGATGGTTATTCCTTAGGTGAACACCCCTCTTTCCATCCGTAACCGAAATCAGAAGTGAAACGCTGCAGCTGATAAATAAATAGATAAATAAAATAAATAAATAACTTTATTTAACGAGGGAAGCACTTTACATTCTTAGACTGAGAAACCTATGGCCCTCATCTAAATTACAATAAGAAAAAGTTACAAATAATTGCAATAATTTAGAAATTTCTAACTATAGTATTTACAATAATAGGAAATGACCTAGCTATCAACCTGCAATAAAAGAATAAAAGTTAAGAATATTAGTGAATAAAGGCTGATAGTTTCTAAAGAAACTGTTTGGGGCTGCGTCGGTAGGGGTAACGAAATAATTTGGATATATCAACAAAGTTGAAATGGTAAATTGGCCACCGTAACGATTACAAAAGCTGACGTTTCGAGCGTTAGCCCTTCGTCGGAGCGAATAGAGGAACTGTGGGTTGTGTGTGCTTTTAAAGGCAGAAAATGGAGCTACGTTATTGGTGGGAACATGGCAACGAGAAAAACACGAATAAATTAGTGGAATGAAAAGCGTTCGTTGATCCCTGTGGGATTTAGACTGCCGGTTTGAAAGATGAGCTTTTGTTCAAGAGTTTTACGGCTTTCCGTGCTACCTAAGTGTAAGGAAAGACCGCAGATTGCCATATGTTGCTTAGAATGATTAGGTAAATTAAAATGTCTAGCGACTGGTTTCGATGTGTCCTTGTCATTCCTTTCCACGTCTCGAAGGTGTTCTCGGAATCGGTCACCTAGTCTTCTGCCTGTTTCGCCGATGTATATCTTTTTGCAATAAGTGCAAGTTATGCAATAGATTACATTGGCGGAGGTGCACGTGAAGTGATCGGTGATCTTAATGGATCGTTTAGGTCCCGATATTTTATCAGTGTTGTGAATGAAAGGACACGTTTTGCATCGTGCACGAGCGCATTTAAAAGTGCCTGGTTGGTCATTAGTCTGAAAAGAACTTCTGACCAAAAAATTGCCTATGTTTTTGTCGCGTTTGAATGAAATGAGCGGAGGCTGCGAAAAGATAGTGCTTGTCTCTGGATCGNGCTTAGAATGATTAGGTAATTAAGAATTAAGATTAAGAATATTAGGATATTTGAAAATGATCAATATTAGCGTACCCCTCCTTTATGTGCTTAATATAATTGCGTTTAAAAGAGAAAACCATTTGATAGTTTCTCATGCTGACCTTCTCTGCCTCACGAGACCCCTGTCAAAAGTCTGCCTTTTCTCCCACCCCCTGCCCCATGTGCCGGATTTTTCCACTCACCTCATTATAACAGCAGCTGAGTCCATTTTGTTCTTGTTTAGGTTTGTGTCCACAACCACCGCAGTTTCCAGGATATCGCGAGCATTGTTGCTCTGACGGATACATATGCCACAACTGAACCTTTTATTGCAGGCAAATGCGATGTTAGAATTCAGAAAATTGGCACCCACTACCGAGCTTTCAAGTAAGTCTTTTTGATTTGCTGTTTAGCTGCTTTAGTTCAAACACTTAACGTCTGACAATAATATTTGTTTTGTACTGGGGAGAAGAATAGTGCGAAGCATTTTGCAAATTCAACGGTATTCGGACGAGCTGAAAATTTACCCGCCAAAAATGAGCGCCACTTCCACTATCAGCGTTACCAAGTCTTTGACACTAGTGAGGTTGAGGGCCCTGGGAACGAAATTAATGAACAGAGGTAATGCTTTGCGTTGCGTTACGTTAAACGGTAACTGAAACTGAGCTTGCGTGCACAAATAGTAAATCACGTTACAGAATGTGATGTGATGTGACATGACGTGACGTGATGTAATGTAATGTTATGTTATGTTATGTGATGTGATGTGATGTGATGTGATGTGATGTGATGTGAATGTATCATCAAAGATCAGCAGTTGACAAGTGTTTATTTCTATTCTGACTAAAGACGAACATCCATTTCGGACAATTGGAAGACCAACACAGGGTCCGCTGTCCTTGAGGAAATAGCTATCACAGACAGGTAATATTTATGAGAGTCTATCTGCCATTCCTGTACTGATAGGTTTAATTGCCTCCATTTTAGAGGGATCAATAGATTCCAGATAAAGACTCTTTATGATCAGTGCTTACGCTGTGATCACTGTGTTGTTTTCTTCGTTAACGCTGCTATTCTACACCTATCAACTTCCACATCTTGGGCGTGATTTTTGCGCTAAAAAAATCGAGCTAACGCCCACCGACCATTTCTGCACTCTGGCAGTGAGAAAGCTAGTACGATCACAGCCTGGACTGATGAATCCAGGAATGATAGCATATAAAAAGTCAAACAGTTTTAGACGAGAGAGGTATTTTCGAATGATCGTGTTTTCTCTCGAAAACCACGATTTTAGTTGGCAGTAGAACACTGGAGAAGAGGTTGCGTCAAAACTCTTCGGGATGACCCTGGCAGTTTTCGTAACATCCTCGGACGTGTTCGGCTGTCACCGGCTATGATAAGGTTCTCTATTAAAAATTTCACGCTTTTGACTCTAAAGGAAAGTGTCGATCTCGGGTAGGGGCGTAGGGTTATTTTAATATTATGAATTATTGCATATACTGGAGTCAATTAGTTTTGCGCCTCGGTGCTATTCGGAAAGATTTTCCTCTTCCAGACGTTTCTTAATACAATAACATGTACTATGTTTTTCACTTGATTTTCCACACAATTTTTCTTAACTTTCATCTTTTCCCTTCAGGTACAAGAAGTGGGTTGACGAATGCAGCAAGCTGTTTGGAGGTGGCCTTGACATTATGTGTGTGGAGGCTATTGGAGGGAAAGACAACAAGGAATACATCATCGAGGTAACTTGCGAATTTTAAAAAGCTGGCGTTTTGCTATGGATTGGGGTTTTTAAGTTTGTTTCTGTAGCGAAGAATGGAGTTAGAAGGTCTTGTGGATGGTTTCTTTTGTCACAAATGTGCGATAAAAAAAATGAGTCCCCATGAACCTCTCGTTCTGCGCTTTGATGCTCTGCCACAGAGCTACAGAGACTCTATAGCAAGCTAGGTCATTACTAGATAGATATAGGAAACGTATCCGGCATACTGCCGGCTAGGATCAGCAGTGGTAAGGAATGATGCAGGAAGAAACGGACCCAGTGTAGCGTTGATATCTAACTAAGTGCTTCACTTTCCCGCCGACGCAGCACAGAAGTTATTTAAAAACTAATAACCACTAAGCAAGTGAGTGATAGTTTTCATAAACATGCTTCTTGTTGCAAAAGCCAGGATAAGCTAACATGTACGCGACGAAGTGAACACTCACTTGATTCTCCACTTGATTCTCACTCTACTGAAATTTTCTGTAAGGTGAATGACACCGCCATGCGACTCTTCAGTGACACACAAGATGAAGACCAGAGAAGGATCGCTGACCTGGTGGTCGCGCGAATGGAGAAGGAGTATCCACCGACTCTAGAACCCAGTACCGCCACGGGCGCCGCCCTCACAGGTGCTTTTACATCTTCTCAATAACTTAACAACCTGACTTAAAAGTGCAGTCAGTTGATCACACCTCCAAACCCCCCAAAAAACTAATCTAAATCTAAGGAGTGGGAACCGTGTGTAGCATATGTTAAAAACTGGAAAACACTTAAACCGTGCTAAGCGTGGGAAAGCATTTACAGTCTGTGGTCCATGCAGGAAAACAGGTAACCACTGCAAATCACGACATGTAGCAGACTTGCAGTCTCTGAAAAGAGGCGGAAAATCGTGAAAGCCGTACGGAAACGTGAGAAAACTCTTTGAGCGCGCAAGTCGTAAAAAAAACTGTTTCAAGTGCGAATACTCTGACCATCACTTAAAGCGTAATGCATCTATAAATTGGAAGGAATTCACGGTAGAAAAGCAAATTGATGAAAGAAAGAAAATAAAGTTGTGATTTTCGGTTTGTCGATAGCAGTTGAAAACTTCAGTGTTGCTCAGTCTATACTGCGATTGCTTCAAAGAGCTACATGTTAGTTCACCTCCCATTGTACCAGCGGTTTTCTTCAAGTGTCGAATCTCAAGATGTGTCTGAGACTCGGATGATCTTCTACATGTTGATTCACGCTTCTTTCTCCGTCGTTGCTTTTCTTCTAGAGCAACGGGAATCTTTTTGTGAAGTGATTAATCAGTGATATTTACTTGAAGTGTAATTCTCGTCTTTTCTATACTCCATTTGTAGTGAAGTAAATTCTTGAGTTAACATTTTACTTTTGCATTCCCTCTTTTCTTTCTTCCTTTTACTTCCTGGCTCTCAGGTGAACGGGCGAGTGATGGTACCTGTAAGTAGCGGTGAGAATCTTTTTCTTCCTCTAGATCTGTTCTTTGTCACTTTCGATACAACTGCACAGCGGGAACAAATTGCCATTCAAACTAATTGTTGAACTTAAGAGTGCTGCACTGCGAGAACAAATTGCCTTTTAAACCATTTGTTGAGCTAAAGAGTTCTTTAAACGTAAAGTTGGTTGACAGAAAAATGGAATCAGAAATATACCAATCACTGGTTAGTTTTAACAGCACCGTTCTTTTGGAAGTGACGTCATACGCTTGCCAGTTAACTAAACTCTGTTGTCTCCTTGCCAACCCATGTGAACGAGATAGTTAATTTCTGTGCAATATGTGCAATATGATTGACATCCATTCTCACATTTCGGCTTTTTTTGTATGCTTTTCTCCTTAATTTATAGAGAAAGAGAATCGAGTTTACAGAACTCTTTGTTCGATCAAAGGCAATTTCTTCAAGCAGTAGAGTTTTCCATTAATCTTCGGTTGTTTTGATTCTGTCAGAACTGAATGGATGATTCACTAGCCATCAGCTCTTTTTGTTTTCTTTTGATCCTCCTTCCTTCCTTTCGTCACTATCGACTTTTGGTAACATTGCTATCTTTCACTTCTTGTTCACCTCTGACTGCTTCCCTTAACTTTCAAGAGTTTTAAGTTTGTTGAAGGAGTTAATGCATCGTGGAAATGTTGCATTTCTCGTAGTTGTTAAGCTTTTCATTTTGTCGTAATATATGTTAACCTCTTCTCATTTAGTTTAATGTCACTATAACTGAGATCACAACTACAAACGATTTTTCATTTGATGCACTGAGAACGTCGAGGTACCACTCAAGGGCTATTTTTTCTCCTCTGAAAGTCCTTAGGACAACAGAACCGTTGTCCTTGTTCTCATTCAATTCTTACGATTTTGGCAAAATTGCATGATGTCAAATATTGCTCTCCATTTCAAATTTTTATCGTTGGAACTGTCCGCCGCTGACAGATTGTTGTATGAAATACCAAAAGAAAGAGCTCGACCGAGAGAAAGATAGGCGGACATAAAAGAATTGCGAGTTTATTTTTCGATGTATGAAGTCAGCTTATTCAGTAAGAAGCAATTGTTATTGTGCTTGGGAAATGAAAAGGTTTGTTTTAATGACACTGTTTTCTGTTGCAGGTGCTTTTAAGGTTATCGGGGGTCCCGGTGCGCCGACAGTTTCTGAAGGGGCAACGAAGACAGAAAAAAAGAAAAATGGACTATTTAGTGGTTTTATCGATTAGAACTATTTATTGTTTCAATTAGGTCGCAGCTATATGTGTTAAGAGTTATACTCAACTCGATTGACGTATACCAGCACACCATGTTTAGGCGTTTCTAGTCGAAATGTTGGACTGTTTTACGAGTTCTTAGGGATGGCGTTGTTATATAGTCTGAAGTTTTAACGCCAAAGTGCCGCTGGCTTATGTGGGATGAATTTCTTACGACGCAGCGGAGTGTGTTCGGCCAATCAGATTTAACTGGCAATTAATGCTAACCAATCAAATAATAGAATGCATCTTTAGTGAGTGGGTTTGTCTGCTTCAGCTTGAAAACGGAAATGACTAAAACATTCTGATCAGGAAGTATGGCTATCTTGGCAATTTACCAAACAATCTAACACTTACTGACATATCACACTACTGATTTAGACAGTTAGCAAGGAAAACAGTACAATTGCCTAAGGTTGTAAAACAACAAATCCAGCTAGAATTTTTTGATTTCACCGTCAAAAGTTTAATTGGCGTATTTCTTTTGTACATTTCACGTATAATAGAGCTCGTAATTTCAAACCAGCGGAGCGCTCGAGCTCGGCCAATTTGAAATCACTCGTGAACTTACATCCCGAATTTTCTCCACTCAGTCCTATTCTCAAAACAGAAATTTCTTTTGAGTGTGGACAGTAACCCAGGATTATTTTGGTTTTCTTTACTTCGCTTTGCAGTTGGTCCAGTCTACTCGCGCCACTTTTCTAACCAATCAGCCAACGCAGCTTAGTCATCCGGGTTTTCCCGCGCTTAGGTCATCTGCGTTTTCCTGCGCTTTAGACGGTTTCCATGTCTTAACCATGACTTCAGATTGGCTCCTTGTGGTAGCTTCCTTCGTTCTGATTGGCTGTTGTGATCATTTTGGTGTTTGTTTTACGACACTCAATTGAAATGTTCTCCCCTTTTTAGAACACACTCTGTTCAATCTAAGCGCGAAAAAATATTTGCTAACATTCCTTAGAACCTTCTAGCTTGCCGTTTGAGGGAAAGTGCAAATTCCTTTTCGCTTATTTCTAGAACGTTAATTTATAGTGATGATATCTTGTTGAGAACTCTATTGTAAAAAAAATGTATCGAAAGTTGCTAGGAAATGAATCAAAATTTGAATTCGTGTGTGATTTTTATAAATTTATTTAACCTTTAGGGTTTTTAATCTTGTTATTTATATAAGTCAATAACTTATAATGCTAGGACTCGTCAGTTCGTAGGTTTGAAGGGAGTTTGAAGTGAATATATTAATTTCAAACTACTGAACAAGTCAATAAATTGCGTATTGCCGTGCTGCATGTTGCACTAATCATTTAGTAAAAGTTTTTCTTCGTCAGGACTTATTTTAAGGGCTTATCTGGAACCACTCGGCCATATCAAATGATTGCTTAAGAACCCTGGGAACCCAACCTCATTCCCAGGTTCCCCTTTCTTCCTCCCAAGCTCAAAATTCAAGTTAAAAATGAAAACTGAATTGGTGTCGTAAAAAATTCAAAGAACCGAACCGAAATTTAAAATGTTTCGTGCCGCTAAAAGATTCGAAATAATCTCAGATAATTTGTGCCAGCTTGTGAATTCGAAAAAGTTTGATTCCATCTTCTTCTTCTGAGATTATTGGCTCATTTAAATACATCAGTAGTGTCATAAAGTGTAACTTGACAAATTTTCGAAAAATTAAATCGAATAAGCGCTTAATAAATAATGAAAGTTCCACAAATGCAGATTGATGCTGGAACTTATTGATCGGAAACGAGATAAGATGTTAAGCGATTGTTTTCAAATAAATTGGCGTCTTTCGAGAACTTTGACAATCTGTTGTCGTAAAATGTCACTTAACAAAATAGTTAATTATATTCTAAAAACCAAACCGAATTACTAAATGTTTCATACCAAAATAGTTAAGGTTGCAGTTTTCAGGAACCTCCTCCATCGCATATCTCATTCAACAAATAAAGGTATTGTGATAATGGCTGGCTCCTTAGTGGGCAAAGCCCCCGGGAAAAAAATTTTTGTCGCGGCGGAAGAATCGTAGGCCTGAACCCTCAAGTGGCTCCAGTAGCAGAGCATGCGCACTCTTGCTGCATGCTGTGTCCCGGCGATGGAGAATCTGAGCGACAAATTCGTGACAAATGCCTGAGAGGACATCATTACACGAAATTAATTTTTGATGGGAATTTTGTGGGTGAGAGCAGTCAAAAAGAGCATTTACAGGTACTAAACAGGTAAGATCAGTTTTTCCATCCAAACCAAGTCCTCTGGGTATTGTGAGTAACTGAGGTGAGACAACTTGTATCTTTAAAGTTTTATTAATTTTTTTACCTCTTTTGCGTTTGAAAACACCAGCCAGCGACCGCCTCGAGGATTAATTTATTCAAACGATTTCTGTGTGGCACAAAATATCTGATGATGATGTAGCGTAAATGATGGCAAATAATTATACTTATCAACAATCTCGTTTTCTGCACAATGATGGCACGAAAACTGTCAGCTTTGTCGGTACGGGTTACAAAAGGCTTAGATCGTTCACCGACATCTGAAATAGAAAAAGGCGAATGTCTATTTTGAATTAACAGGCTTACGCTGTAAATTATTAAGACATATTTCCTACACTTAAATTTTAAATACCCACCTATTGAAGGAAAGTGTGTCTTAAGGAAATTTCACTTTACTATTATCCCTTTTAGGAACTAAAACAAATTTTACTTCAAAATGTATCAGTCTGTTTTGTTATTCGAAATGCAACATTCAAAGGGCTTTCGAGGGGGTCATTTTTTTTTCCGCGAAGATTAACATGTTGTTTTTGTAAGTTAGACCGTTTATTTTTATGAATACTACATGGCTGGCTTTATTGAATAGGTTGTTTCCCGTAGAGTAAATATTATGGCCAGAATTAAGCATCTCGTCTTCCTGTCTGACGACTTAATTAAACAAAATATTCAACTTAGTTTGGCAAAATCTGTCATTGCTTTCATAAATTTTGTATGATGATAGAAAGATCTCTTCTTTAATCCTTTCTTTAGCTTTTCAGTGTTTCAAAACAAAAAGGCAAATGGCCTAGGAAAGGTGGTGCTTTCAGGCGACCAATTGCAATGTGCAAAGTAATTGTTCGGTAGCGTGAAAATTTTAGGGCGAACCTTCGCTCGTGGAAACAGCAGTTCGTGTCGGTATGTTCATGTTCAAAACCGTGATAAAAAATATTGTCAGTTGATCAGACCGTGACTGAACTTAAACAAATTCGGATACTGAGTTTAATTAAATCATTAGAACGTCAAAAGCAGGTGAAACTACAGGAGGTGATGGTTGCACTAATTCAGGTTTTTGTTAGGTTTCTAGCCACGCGAAACAGAATACATTGCATGCAAAGCTCGCAAATATTATCAAATTCAACTGACGGCAATGAATTCGAGCGCGGACCGTGGTTGCAGAGTGCTACATTCGTTTCATAAAACTGCCATATATTAATTTCAGCGTAAAAACTATGTGACATTTGTTAAGTACATTAAGAATACGCTAGAAAATTGGAGTTGCTATGACGCTGAGGTTGCAGTAAACCAAACTGAGATTAGTCGGTATGTGTTCTCTCTTCACAGAAGGTTAAAACGTACTTTGAACAGGAAGTTATCAGACCGGATTTGGTCAGAAAGAGGGATGGCGTTGTATTCAACCTCTGCCAATAAGGAACAACCCTTCCTTCCATTAATAGATAATAAACAAGAGCACGGACATGGCGCAGAAATGCACGTTAACGCAGAGGACTTGAATCGACGAGGAGAATTTGCTGAGGACATGAATGAGTCGCCCAAGACAACCGCGAGGAAATATTCATCATCAAACAAAAATTCTCAAACAAAAGACATGGTAAAAAATGGACGAGGTAAAGCGATCAAAACTAGGACAAACAAAAAACGAGGAACTCATTTCCATTTGCCCCCATTATCTTTGAAGCCAGCCGAAAACGTTAAGCCGGTGGAGAGATGGACTGCTGCATTAGGTTTACGGGAGAACTTTGAGATTCCTCGCGGTTTCTTGAATAAACTGTCCGACGAGGTGCTTAGAATCGATCGACTTTTGAGAGAAGAAGCTATGTTACAGCAGATTAGAGAAACGAGGATACTATCTAGGCAACTGAGCGAGTCTACGGACAAGCAAAAACTCTCTTCTTTTGGACTTTCATCGCAACATATTGCGCGACCAAAATTCTCCTACTTTCCTTCGTTAACAGAGTCATCCATTGAGCGCCCGGGGTCCTTGAAGCCGTGTCGATCACCAGAAAATAAAAATCGAGAGCTAATGAATCAACAGGAACTTGAGATTCAAAGGAAAATGAAAGGGTTTAAACATCGTCATTCGCATCTCAAACATAAAACAAAATTACGATAACGGAACTAAGTGCATTCGTCAAGGAAAAAAGGTCACAGTTGTCTCTGTTGGTTTTCCTGGGAACGAACAGTTTACAGGATCTCGGTTGTTTACTCGTAGTTGTTTTCTGTTTGGATCTATATTGAGTCTGGAAACTCGAACATTTTCAATACCAGGAAAGATAACCAAAATAGTTTTTAATTTGCATTTCTAAGTTATCAAATATTAAACGTCTTCAAAGCGACAAATAAACTTTTAAACTTTATTGCAATGAATTCACAGAGCATCAGCAAGTGAGAAAACGTCCTCAGTCACCGCGCTTCACACTGAACGAACACATCGGTCAAACATCAACGCATGTGCGAATGTTTCAATGTGTGCTTTCAAGTAAGCTTTTAGGGCCTGGCTAAACTAGGAAACTTTGTTGCGGAAACATTGTTTCCTGTTATGTTTCCCGGGGTGGCTAAATTAGCGCGAAATAAACAAAATGTTTTGCTGCCCCAGAGGCTAAACGAGAAAACATTGCTTCGAAAAACAAATGAGCTACGCATGCGCATATGAATAAACTGACTTGGAGGAAGTTTGGGGATCAAAGGATGTTCACATTTTCATTGTATCAAAGCCCTTTGTGGCATTCTGCACAATAATAAGCAACTTCAGCATCTTGTACCACTTCCAAGAGGAGTGGTACACAACGCTTGTTTGTTGACCGGACTTCTTTTTTCTTTCCAGGGCCTGTTCCCTCATAAATTGTGACCTGATAATTTTCAACTTGCTCTTGTTATCCTCCCGGCTGACATCATATTTTTCTGTCATCAGTAGATCGATTTGCGAACTGACGCCACCCCTTGCTGTCCCTGTTCATGTATTCCTTATGACCCACGTCCCAGAGACAAGGCCTTTTCTCGTACAGCGTAATTAGCATTTGAATTTCTTCATCTTTCCAATTTGATTCCTTTCCCTTCCCTTTCCCTTTCTTTGAGCGTGATCGGCTTGAATTTCTTCGCAGTCAGTCATTTTAATTGTTGTCTGCTCGTCGTTGCTATGAAACATTTTTCAATGTGCGAGCGGCACTGGAAATTAATCAACATTGTTTTCGTCGTGGCTAAACTGGGAAACATATGTTTCGGACGCAAAATTTGTGTCCGGGAAACAAAAATGTTTTTGTCTGCAGGCAAAAAAATTTTGTTTCCGAGCAGCAAAATTTGTTTCCGGAACTTGTGTTTCCCACGCGGCTAAACTGGGAAACATTTGCCTCCGCAACAATGTTTCCGCAACAAAGTTTCCTAGTTTAGCCAGGCCATAATTAGGCTAATCGCGCCTGTCAGAACCAAGTTGTCTCACACGAGTAACAAATAACAAGTCACGGCAGTTAGAAGCATGAAACTTTTTCAGTGAAGCTCAAACAGAATGTTAAATCAACAGGATACCCTATTTGAGTAACCTTGTGTTCAAATAGTCTCGAATTTTTCTGTTCCCATTTCAATCGTCTATCGTTTATTTTGTAAGACAGCCGCTATTTCTGATGTTTCCATTAAAATTTTTAGCGGGAATTTGGCGCGGGCGCCAAATTGATCCCCGCGCGCATGCCCGACGTTTGACCGCTTTACTTCCTGAAAGGTGCATCCCTCTTCGATTCACTGGAAAAGTTTTACTCAGATGCATTAACATTTCTGCATTCTGTCAATCAATCCATAAAAACGGAGAATTAGCTAAAGGAAGACACGAGAGGCGATGCTTTTCCACAAACTTCTTCTCGACTTTTCTCAATGAAACAAAAATCCTCCAGTATTCCTCCCTCGTTCTCAGGCTCCCCGGTTCGTGGGCTTTTTGCCGTTTCTTCGGTTTCATCTTCTCTAGTTCCGTTTTCAGTCTCTCTCTCTTATTCAATGATGGAGGCGAGGGGAACCTCGGAAAATAGGAATATTTTACACGGGATAGTTTTGGCGAGTACTGCGTATATCTAAGATCCCGTTGGAATTCGTAGTTTTTTAGCAATCGCGGAGAACTTTCACTATGTTCATCAGTTTTCGGACAGTTATTCTGTGTCTCCTCTGACGTATGAAGAGAAAAATTCGTCTTTATTCAAATGAAGATTTTCGTTGATATCTTCTCCCGTTTGAAGATGTGCATTTGATCTTGAAAAACGTATTTTTGGTAAATAATTCGCCAAATCTGCAACTTCAGGATTTTCTTCCGCTTTTTCGTCATCTTTAACTGTAACAACTTTCACATATTTCATCACACCAAAGTCAAGATCTGGTAATGTCTCCAGTTTACTGCTGTCTTCAGATCCGTTCATTATCTCCTCTTCCTCGTAGGCAGTCAAAACCCGATTACATCGAGATTCTTGAGAAATAAAATGAGGTAGCTTGAGTTGTGTATCATCAACTTCTGGATCCTGGTCAATCATGTTCAACTGAAGATTCACGTTGCTCAAAAAGTTATTATTTTATCTTCTCATCTCTTCGCACCGTTAAAGCCCCTGTCGGGTTCAGTTCTCGGAGCTTTCAACAACTGATTTACCAATCAGGCAAAAGTGTTTTCGTTAATCTCGATTTCTTAGCATTAAATACAAGAAAGAATTACTATGACACCATAGCGACCACACTAGACGTAGTCTGGTCACAAACGAAGCACAAATAGAAGATGGATTTGACTGATTTCTCTTCACGGAATCACATGCACTTGCTATTGCGTCCAAAGGTTTAGCACAATTGGTCAGCGAGACCTCTAAGTACAAAGAAACTCATTAAGGGAGAACAAGAAAACAAAAAGAGATTAGAGCTATTTGGCAATGTTGGAAATAATTTCCAAACTGTAAACAAGATCCACCTGTCAGACTTGGCTAATGGAAAGGTAGAATTATAACAAAGGATACCAATCGAAGTCAGCATTAGGTGTGAAGAGTTACCTAAACTAATTGGTCCTTTAAATTGGTCGTATTTCTTTTAAAAAAATCTGGCTTTCCATACAGAATATATCCTGAAATAAGTTCCATTTGCGAAAATCATCAATGTGTTATTGCTGAAATTTTTAATCTCATCGTGCTTATTCAAAGCACAGTGAAAGAGCAAATTTAATCCGTAATCGCCCTTCAATTGTACAACAATTTTGATGCTAATTGAAGTGTTTTCTGTAATACTTTTCAGGTGTTAATCGTATCAATTAACAAAGAATCAACAAAAATCCTCACAGTGAGTTGCGTGGATGCTGTGCGTACTCGCTAAATTAACCGGAGGAACGTCAGAATTAAATTGATAGGATTTAGAAGGAATTAGAGAAATTTTGTGACCTGTTCCTCGCCTTTTATCCGTCTTAACCCATTGAGTTGAGCGGTTCCTAATGTGGTTACATGTCATAGATGTCTTTACAGTTTGAATTTATTCATAACATTAAGTCAGACCTCAACATTTTACATATCTTGATATCTTTGTACGAGAGAAAACTGGATCTAGTCTTGAAGTCGAGGCGTATTTTAAGGGAAAACAATATCAAATGCTGTTTTCAATAAATCCTATGCACAACTTGAAAAAATATGGATATATCAACAAAGTTGAAATGGTAAATTAGCCACCGTAATGATTACAAAACCTGACGTTTCGAGCGTTAGCCCTTCGTCGGAGCGAAGTGATACATGTAACCGCTCAAATTAAAAACAGTGACTGCTTGAAAAGCTGCATGGAAAAATGAGAGCGACTAAAACGAAATTGATTTCAGTTTTGCATCTGCTCATTTGACAAGGTGACGCAAGAGTGAAGTTAAGTAAAAGCAGAACTGTCCTCAATCAACTACCTCATTTATTTGAAAATTGCTCTACGTTTAAACAGTCCTGTGCTGGAGGCGCACATATACATGTTCGTCACATCAGTTCCTGTGTTCCACGTTATTTGTTCCATTTGAACTACTAGGTGAAATTAAAATTCCCAAAACGAGGAAAACACCTCCCCTTTATCTCTGCCGTGCGCTAACAGTTTCTTTCGAAACTATCAGCCTTTTAACAACTTGAAAAACTTTGATATGAACTTATTTAAAGAAAAGTAAAGCCAAATAAAACAAGTCGAACACATTTCAATAAAAAGTGTGTTTCCCTTTTTACTTATTTTATAGAGAGAGATGACCGCAAGCCTCGACTCTGTTTTTGGCCCAGTTTTTTCTCATTCGCGTCCAAACATAACATCAAGCGTTGCCCATCCGTCGTATTCTTTCGTTCATCCTGGTCATTTCACATCATCCCTGAGGGATCATGGGAAATGAGTGAAAAGGCGACCGTCTTCTTTTGATCCAGTTCCCAGTTCGCTTCGTTCGCCCGCGTCATACAGATTCTCATTTAGAGAGAGAAGGCAAGTCTCTTCGGGAGAGTATTAATTTGGATATGTCAACAAATTTGAAATGGTAAATTGGCCACCGTAACGATTACAAAAGCTGACGGGAGAGAGATTTACGGCTCTGTCCAGTTACTTATAAACTGAATTCTCTTTTTTTTCTTTTTTTCTTTTTTAATTTTTCTTCTTTTTAAGAAAGACGTCTTTCGTTTGGATGTGTTCGTCGATTTTCATGGCCACACTCTACGATATGCCTAAAGAGGATTTTCATGTACAGGAAAGGTGTCTGAGCATGAAACCACTCAATGATTTCGGGTTTCGAAAAGATAGCTACACTTTTCCTGACTTAATACAAAGACAACCTTCAGTTTCAGTTTTAATTTTAGTCGCTTCAAGGCGTTATTTACCCAGGTTAACAGGTGGTAAAAAAGAAACATTCGAATTTTCCTTAAAATTTCTTTTTGGATTATCATTTGTCGAACAATGTGGTCTGGCACTTGCGTCACATGCTAGCATTGAAATGGCTCTCCGAAAAAGATCTACTGTTTTAATTGGCTGATTTGCTTTGATTTCATAGCAAATAATATGTGATGTATTCATAATTTTGGCAGGTATGCACTGTTGAACCGTAAAATACCGAATAGCTGATTTCGATAGAGACAGCAGGTACCGGTAGGTGGATTAACCGCACGTTTTGGCAAAACTAAGCTGTAGTTTTATGTTTTTTTAAATAATTTATGAGATAATTGTTGAGCGAAAAAAATGATTTTTGATAACCAGCTCCTTTTTTTGCAGCCGTTCAACGACATGATGAAGAAAAGTCTTGTTTCACTGTAATATTCACAATGTCATCCACAGAAAATCTTTTACGAGATTCTGGAAAGTTCACGAACGGTTTAGAATCAGGTTATCAGTCTGAAGGAATAGAAAATGGCTTGCCCCTTCAGAAACACAAAGGCAAAAAGATCATTAAGAAAAAAGAGTCTGGCAGAAACGTGGGCTTGGAAAACGAAGGTTTCGAGATCGATGCTGAGCAAACAAACACAAGCGTCAAAGACAGTACTCAAGTTCATCAGGCATCAAGCGAAAACAAAACACGAAAGTTGACGACATACGATAAAAGGCGACATAGCTATGCCGGGAGGACATCTGTGTCGGATGATACCACAAACCCTTCGCATGAAAGCGTTGCGCAGAAAGAAAAAGGCTCACATACGCGACATTCAAGCGCTGATGAAGATTTAAGACGAAGGGCTTGTTTCAACTCGATGCGGCTTCGCCGGGTTTCAAGCTCGAGCCAGCTGCCTTCTGATAAAGTCGATGCTGGTGTAGAAGAAGTGTTTTATCAAAATCTTCCAATGGCTGGAGCTGAAAACGGACATCAAGAACTGACTTTTGGAAAAAGGCCTAAAGATGAAGTGTTTTTGCAAAATCCATCAATGGTTAGGGTTGAAAACGAGTCTCAAGAACTACCGCATCGAGAAAGGCCTAAATTAAGTAAGGCTGACAGTGTAATTTCCATGGACAGTTTATGTAACTCAGTAGAGCTAGAAAACAGGAAGTTGAATGAATATTCTAAGCGCTTGTCGTGCGCTTTGGAAGAGAGAGCTGAACTGGAACAAGAGCTGAGCATTTTATGTCGCAATGCTTCGGTTGCACGCGCCACGCCAACAGAGGAAAGCGAAAGGTGGAAAATATCACCCGGAATTCATTATCGAAATGAAAAGTATAACTCCGAGAGGAGAATAAGTTCTAGAGGGAATATAGACACGCAATTATCAGTTGAACAGCTTAGGCACCTACAGCTTGAACAAAGTCGAAAACTACCAGATGTTCCTGCGAGTGTAGCTTCTCAAAGATACGACGAAATCCACGAGCGAATGGAGTCAGTTGATAGATTGCCTCAGCGAAAAGTGTCTGAAAAACTCCCTCAGCAACAAGAAGGGAAAACAAAAAGCCAGAGTTTTCGCCTCAGCGATTTCGAAAAGGCAAGAAGTGAACGTAAAATGGCTAATTTTGCAGCAGATCTATGGAAAAAGCTGTTACAAGGGGAAAAATTTCACGTCGCTGAAAATGAAGTTGAGCGTAAGGCAACAACACCTGATGTACCAACAAGAAACGGATATGATAAGGAACTCAAGACTCGTAGTGATTCGCTTTACGACATGGGGTCAATGAGCGAAGCAGATTCCGAGGGATATCACATTCCTCATTTAGCTGAAGAAGCTAGTCTTTCAATCTCAAGGGTAGATTTGTCAAAGAAAAAGAACACGAAGGAAAAATCACTAGTACGTTCAGAATCAGCTTCAAGTTTGACGCGCACTGACGCGTTTAGAAGAAACCAGAGACGTCCAATACGGCAAAAGCGCGTTTCAACCGCGTCTGAACCGCAGATGAAGGAAGCAAAACCCTCCAAGTCAATGGGGTTCAAAGATTTGGCCAAAAGTGAGTCTCGTCAAGAAAAACCGGAAAAATTGGAAGGAATTCGAAGTACTGAGGCTGTTAGTCAGAATCACAGTGCATGGTTCGATTACATGCTCCCACCTGGAAAACATAGACAAAGGCAAATTCCACCTCCACAAAATTTTCAGTGCAGCTCACACGATCCAACTGCAGATGAAAGACCTTTATCGGTAAAACTGCGTTATTATCAGGAATTAGAACGTAAGAAGTCCCAAGAAGAGAATTCGTTTGATTTATCAGACGCATTTATGGCTGCAGAAAACTTAGAGGCAGAAATGGAGTACCGAAGAAAAGCTGCTAGTGAAGCCGCCATTTTAAGGCGGGAAGCGTCGCGTTTGCTTTGGCAAGCAATGAATTTGGAGCGCATTTGCGATCCAAATGCTCGAGTGCGCCACATTTTTACGCCATACTGACATGTTAGGCCGGGCTTCAGTTAATGAATGTTTGGAGTTTTCTTTTATGGGAAAAAAATAAATTTTTTCAGATCAGATGCTTATAGTCGCTGTTTCTTTAAAATACATTTTCTCCGATTATAAATTTTTCTGATTCTTTTTAAGTAAAATCTTTTTTCTGGCGTCCTTAAATTTGTTAATTTTTAAAAAATTTTCAGAGGGATCCCGACCGAAATATTTTTCCGCAGTTCCTAGATGTGGAGTGCGTCGGAGAAGTCGTAATCTCGACTCGTTGTTTAGCTCTGAAATTTGACTTGAAGTGCATTTTAACGATTTAACGCCTAAGATCTGATTTTTAATTCTCCCCTCTAGTTGTTAAACATTTACTTGTTAATAAGTTATGAGAATCTGATGTTAGATCAAATCAATAACTTCTAGCAGATAAGTTTGAGTATTCTTATTACCTGTTTGCTGGATAATGTATGGATATTAAAGGGAGAAGTTACATGTTAATCACTTTGGGGAGTTAAAAGGTTAAAGCGAGTATCATGAAACCAAATCCAACAGTCAATCAGAACAAAGGAAAACTTCACAAGCAGCCAATGAGAACTCAAATTGATAATACAGGAAATTGACTGAAGCGCGGGTAAACGAAAATAACCATTTTGCGATTGGTTTCCATTGAGAACTTGATTAATAGAGATGGTAGCGTGAGTTTTTAATGTCAATCAGTAGCAGTAGTTAAGAAGAACTAATCATTTTTCTTGATGCGATCTGATATACAATCTCAGGCCATAATGGACATTCCGATGAAAACTAACGTATGAAAGCTATAGGGAATTCTAACGATGTTTCAAAATTCATGAAATTTGCTTTAACCTTTAAGCTGGCCAGCAATGGTGTGTTACGAAAAAGAAATGTATCCTACGGTAAAACGGACGGAGGGTGTTTCAGTAGACCACACTCTCAGACAGATTGAAATGCGTCCATGGACATAACATCGTACGTGGTATAATTAAGTCCTGCGGAGCAGGGAAAGAGCAGCTGCACAACTACCCCTCCCCTAGTCCAACGACAGCCACCAACTGATAATAAGTTAGAGTTTATGTTGGGATAGGGGAGGGGTGGGTGCTTAGTTGCTCAGTCACTGCCATTGTTCTAATCCTACAATAGGTACATAACTGACAGAGCTGAATAATGAAATGCTACGTCCCAGGGTGTGCGGTCAACAACGCGGGCTCAAGTGTCCTAGGTCTCAAATTAAGCGAAATTAGCGGAAAATAATAAGGGCTGACTTTTAAAACCGAGGAGCTCTGTTTTCGTCGAAGGCACTTTCTTATTTCCAAAGGTTTTAAGGAGAAAACTAATTTTGAAAAATTTTAGGGGGTGCACCAAGTTTTTGGAGGTTGTTCTGTAAAAGAAAAGCGGCAAGGAAACCGACGCATCGAAGCAACAGAATAGGAAATCAACCATCCCAACGACTCAAAATCCATGTTTCCGCGGCAAAACCTAGCGCATGCGTATACGTTATTTAGCCCTGTCTACATAACCCTAATTAACAATTATTCCACGAGCGCGCGTTGGATATGAGATGATAGATAGCCAACGAGGCGCGTAGCGCCGAGTTGGCTATAATCATCTCATATCCAACAAACGCGAGTGGAATAATTGTTTTATTAAAAACACTGCATTAAATTATTAATTTTTATTAAATTTTTAGCTCCCTTTTAATTTTAAGCTTACGCGTACGCTTACCATATCGTAGTTTATGGTATATTGGCTCATATACCATAATGGCTAAGCCAATGAAAAGTCTTGAATTGCATTATCCAATGATCCAGTTTTTAATAATATATAATATACTCACGGAAAAACAGCCCTCCAAATGTTTAGACTTTTCGGATTAGTCAAGAATTGCGCTAACGTAAAAACAGGCCACCAATTGAATAAAAGAATAGAGGAATAGCTTCTTTTTTTTTTTT